GTGTTAAAAATATTAATAATGAAATCTTCATCAAACTCTGTGGTGAAACTGAAGATACTATTTACATGGGAAGCTCTCCATAGATTTATGGTACACAGAGCTTCTGTAGCAACCTGATTCTCTGAATGTTACATTTTTCTAATGTATTCAAAATTGTTTTACTATATTTCTATCTACTTGTAGGGATACCAGTATTCTATTTGCAAGGCAGTGTTTACTTAAAAATAGAGCACACAATTTTCATTGCCTTTTCAGAGTGATGTCTAAACACCTTCTCCCTCCAATGCATCCAGTTGCCTTCACTTCATGTTCAAATGAGTGTCCTGGAGGACACAATCACAGGAAACATCACAGCCCTAAGCTTTACCCCTGAACCTGTCAACAACAACAAAAACAGAAAGGCAGCTTGAATACGCCTTTTCAGAGAAGCCTAGAACTTGAGGTCAGCAGGAGTGTGCTGCTGCCGTGTTCTTAGCCAAGGAAAGTTCTGGTCCCCCACATAAACCAAAGACAAAGAAACACGGTGCATTTTCCAATTGTGCCATGACAGACAACACGGCCACTGGTTCCCTTTGGAAATGGTTTACCCATGAAAGCAGCAACTAGGGATAATAAAGACAGCTTACCACAGTAAACATCAGTTTTCAGGTTCTAAGTCTGCCTATACAGCCACTGCATAGCAGGGGAGATAATTCACCGCCTGCCTGTAATATTAGCTTACTATTTTGTTGATATATTAATTAGTAATTCTGTGAGGTATATCACATGCAGATCTACCATCCCAAAATTTAATACACAAACCTGAGATCCCAGATCTCACTGCATGTCAGAACAACAAAAATAATGAATGTGTCAAATAGGAGAGTGCACAATGTTACATCAAACATGACTGATGTTCCATGCATACAGTGAAGAGTACAAAAAAACCATTACAAACCCCAAATTGTCACATATGACAGGCATGGCTCAAAAACAGAAAGCAGCAGAACTGATGATTTCCTTTAGAGAGCAATTGCTTGACATTAATACCCTACATCTCTGAATACTGATCCAACTTGAGGATTGATGCACGGAGTTAGGCATAATAGTGTTTTGGACATAATCCCTTCTGGTCATATCCCTTCTGAAAGTTTGTTGTTGTTTTTTTGTTCGTTTTTGTTTGTTTTGTTTTTTATTTTTATTTTTTTTTAAAAGCTGCACTTTCTATTCTTCTAGAAAGAGAAGCAAAAAGGCAAAAGAAATAAAACAAAATAGATGTTCTATAAAGGAATAAGATCTTTCAGAAAGTGATGGTAAGGAAATGCAGTACTTTAAGCTTCCTAAGGTATTTTTCAGAAAAAAATTATCTGAAGAGGTTCACCAGGAAGCCCAAAGGCACTAGTACAAGTCTGATCCCCTCTGAAGCTTACAATTGTTATCAAAGCATTTATAGGCTAAAGAGCACCGTGATTTGAAAGTGAATTTGGTACAAAGACATTCCTAAAGATGTTTTACTACTTTAACATGGCACTTGGGCTCAGAAAGCAAGTCCATTCCCTGACAGTCCTTGTCGTTCCTCCTTACTGCTCCATGCACCTAGAGGTGTCTTCACATGATCACAACATTAGCGCACAGTTTCTCACTACCCACCTAGCATTTGGATTCACTACTGAAAATCAGACAGACATTTGAAAGGAGCCCTCACAGGCAGCACTGAATAGGCTCAAAGGAAACCACAGTGAAGCAGCTGAGCTTCCAAGTGCTGGAATAACAACTGCTTGCTGGTTCATAACTATTAAGCTATAATGATGCTACAGATACTTCACAAGCCTCTGTCTCTCCCACGTTTGCCCCACTCTTCTCTTACTGAAGCCGTTACTGTACACAGGACTCTTCTGCCCTGCATCCTGGAAGTCAGAACATCAGTCAAATAAAAGGTATGGTCAGAGTTTAAAAAAAAAAAAAAAAAAAAAAAAAAAAAAAAAAAAAAAAAAAAAAAAAAAAAAAAAAAAAAAAAAAAAAAAGATATGAATAATTAGATGAGAAAGCATCAAGGCAAACCATATATTTGTGGAGCTTTCCCCGATCTATTCACTTAGAAATGAAACAATTTAAAATGTTGTTGCCTTTACTGAATAGGAAGAGCAGCATACAGAAAAACCTTGGTATGTGATGCTTGTGTGTAAGTGATTCATCATAGGAGCACTGCAATGGTCTTAGGCTGCTCCCTGTGAGCTCAGTGTGTCCTCTGAAGCCACTCTGACTTCCAGTCTGCCAAATTAAAAATTGCTAGTACTCTCAAACTTCAGTTTGATTTTGTTTCTTGCAATACGCAGCCATACAAAAAGCATAGTTATTCTTCAAGATCAGCTCTTCTGCTACAGAGGGTTTTTTTTCATTTGGATCACCGTGCAATACTGATTGCTCCTCTGCATTGAGAAACTGCTCTACAAAAAACCGCAAACCACTACCCATACACTGTCCATGACATCTTCTGCTTTCAATTAAAAGCATATGGCAGCACAAGCTAAAATTCCTCTTAGCAGATAAACACATTAGGCCAAATCTACACTAGTGAAAGAAATGCTTTAAAAAAGAGGTATTGTGAAAAAGGTTTGTTACTATTAAGATTTAGCCACTTCTTAACTATTAAGCACAATGGGTAGAACTGCTTCCTTTCATATATTAGTTTAGTTTTCTGACTAAGAGGCCTTGAAACTTTCTCTTGTGCTGATGTCTGGTGACAAATGGACATCAGCTCTTTGCGCTGCCTGTCTTTTCTTTCGCAGCCCTAATACTCCAAGACTCAGCCTCAAAAGCCGAATCCTATCTGTGCTTCATGTTTTTTTCAGAGATACCTTGCCACCTCTGCCAGGTCTGCAGAGTGATCTATTTTTCACTTCTTCACAGTTCACTCTTCCAGGAGGCACACGTGAGCAGTTGTTACTGATGATGATTTGGATCCTAATTAATGTTGTGCGTTTTCGTCAGTTTTTCATTCTACGAAGATGGCAGAGACATGCCAACAGCTGAAACTGCACCATCCATTGCTGCAATTACCACAAAGTAGCTAAGGAAATGGAGATCTGAAAAAAAATTGGTTAGGACTTTATGGAGACCCTTTTGATCAAGCTGTTTAACACCTGACACCTCATCACTGTGTTTTACAGTAATGAACAGGTAAGTTAGAAAGTTTCTCCTGTAAACTAGTGAAATCCATGTATGCCACAGTCTGAAGTTTACACAGTGAAATACTACAGTTACAGCTGTCTAGAGATGCATAAGCGAAAACAAGCATGTTAAAAGATGATTGTTCTGAACACTCCTTTAAGCACAAAAATGTACATCATTTAATCTTTCTTTGCATCACATATCTGGTAAAGGAGAGGTAGAAATAGCCGCACTAAAACCTCCTTGGGTTTCTCCCTGCCACTAGAGAGATCCTACCTTGTACTCCCAGGTAGGATTTGAATAGGAGGTCCTGTGGGGTAGACACTTAAGATCAGCCGGGCAGCAGGTAATACAAAGCTAATATAATAAAGACCATCAAAAGAGCAATTTCCTCTCAAGGAGCTAGTACTACTACCTCTAATTTCACATGCCAAACTGCTTGGACAGCTAATGTGAGTGGACAGAGATTTCCTCATGGCTTAAATTACCACATAGTGCAAAGACTGCTGGACACAAAGGGTGAATGGAATACTGTACCACTTTGAAGCAGGATGTCTGGAGCAGAAGCTATGAAATACAAAATGTATTAGTGCAACACCTTAGGAAAGATTAACTCCTTAACCATAGGACAGAAAAATATAGAGCATCCTAAGTTAAAAAAAAAAATAATTAAACTTTATGCAGTTCTTATTGAGGTTTCAATCAGTGTTACACTTTTTTTCCCCAAGTTTGTACTCCTGAGTCAAACATTGAATAAACATTGTACAGTAGGTACAGAAACTAGTGTCTAGTTAAAAAGCAACAGGTTTGAATGGCCATTGCTTCAGAAGTGTTAAACAGTGACAATAACCTTCCATATGGGAGAAGATAAAAATAGCACTCTCATTTGGTTTATAACTAGGTAAAAGATCTCAACAGTTTCCAACTACACTGTTTCTGTGTATTAAGATGAGATTTGTGATAAATGAAAACTTTAGTAAGGAAACCTGTTGGGGCTGCATCATTTGAGTCTGCGTGGTTGAGAACAACTACAACAAAGCAAAGCAGTCTTTCCAAGTTATAAGCTGCATGAGACTTAATCTTGGAGCACTATGTGAAGGTAGGCAGAGTTCTTTGACTATGATTATAAGGGCTCTAAACCCAATACCCCTTATATCCAATATATTTTACTAGAGTAATAACTAAATTGCTATAACTTTGGCCTTTCGGCATCTATTACAATGGAATATTAACACTTTCACTATCTCAAACATGATAACATTCAGCTCACTAGAACTTCTGCTGACTGTCTCCAAGAATATTTCATGCTCTTTGCACTTTTCTTCTTGCTTTCTTTACAACATCAGGAATAAAAGCTTATTTGGAAGGCAGGTTCAGGAGCAACAAGGACTCACTATTAATCATTTGGTTTGTTCTGAAAAAAATGTGTGAAGGACCACCCTATGTTAATGGGTTTAGGAGAGTCTTCATCATCCTTTGGGGGAAGAAGAAACTGTCGGGAATTAATGGAGCATGGGCTCCCAAAGGATGCATTTTCATTGTTGCTTTCAACTGATCCAGGAGAGTCCGGAGTGTCCATGTTCCAGGCATTTGTGTTTGCTTGAGGTCTGTAACCTGCAGTTTTATCCAATTCTTCCTCCACAGGTGAGCGGCTCTCTGTGTTCAGAGCACTGACAGACAGCTGCATTTGTGGCTTATAGCCTGCTGTAGTCACTACGTCTATTTCTGGCTCCTCCTCTGATTTAATTTGAGGCTGATACATTGATTGAATGTCAATGTAAACCACCTGAGATGACCCCCCAGGTTCATCTGTAGGGGGATTTGAGAGCTCCTCCTCAATGATAGGGGGGCAGTAGGACACAACAACATGATTCTCCATTTCTGAGTCAGAGCCATCTTCAGGCACAGTGGTGTCTGCTGCTGGGGACATCATCTCCGTGTCTTCGATCTTGGGAGCTGCAGACTGTGCTTCCACCACTTCAACACTATTCGGGGTGCATGGGTTCATTTCCAGTGTTTTAAGCGTCTTATTCCCCTGAAGTGAGAAAAAGGAGAAGGGGGAGAGATTTAGCTTAAAAAGTCTGGAAAACCTGAAAGCAACAACTTGCCCAAATTACACTAGTATGTCACTTCTGGATTCTAATCATCCCACAGCAATTAATACAATATAACCACAAAAACTGGTTATGTTTTCTTGGCTCATCACATATTCCTATTAATCTTGAAAGTATTTTACACAAACTAAAGAGACTTGAGATCTTGCAGGAAGTGTTTGAGAACTCTTTCCCCAAATCTCAGCTTTGTGTAACCCATTCCAGAAGGCTGTTTAAATGCCCAGTTCCATCTACTGTAACTATCAGGAGGTTAGGATATGGCATACACATCTCCATACTTTCTACTTCTCCTAACACTATCACTAAGAGGATGTGTTACTCCCATATTGTTATCATGTACTGGCACTTCTCATTAGTTCAGAAGAGAAATGCAGCAGTCCCTTCCTAGTGCAAACATTACAGGTAACTGCATTAACAACAACAAAGCTCTAGATAGCACCTGACAGAAGTTACTCAGTAAATTGGCTTGTTTCCCCCGCCACAGAGTTTTTTCTGCAGTTGGAACAGATGAGTCAAGGTTTGCAAAAGAATTCTTTAACTTGCAATATCTTCCAGAAGTTTTAAATACTAGATTTAAAATGAGAGTTACCTCGCAGATGTTCCTCTGAAACTGCAGTGCCTTACTATTTTCAGGATTTGGGATCTCTGGATAAAATGTTTCTTTAATCCTTTAAAGATGAAAGAAAAAACTTTTATAGGTTAGTAAGGCTTGAAACATTGCAAATACACAAAAGAAGTCAGGACATTTCTCTTTAATTCAGAATACTGAAGACATCTGGTGCAAAGATTTAGTGCATTGAACTTTCCCTGAGTATAATGGAAAAAACAGCAACTTTTTTTTTTTTTTTTTTTTTTAAAGTGGGGAACTTGATATGCCACATTTACTAAAAGTCAAAGATGGGATCTCTACCTGAGTGTTTGTGGATGGCACACAAATTACAGTATGTTACCAGTTTATTTCCATTTGGGAACCATTTATAAACAGTGCTCACTGGAGAAAGGCTCCTGAAAATCGTTTTTGCATTCCTCACTCTGACCTCTCTCCAGTGTGTCTCCTTCTACAATGTGTTTTTGCCACCCAACTTCGAACAAAACCCACTGACATCTTTGGATACTTAGAGAAAACAAAGAATGACTACAATGATGGAAAACCCTAGCACTGAAACAAACACTTCCAGGAAAAGATGAGAACTGAATGCAGGCACTCACCATTCCCTCTTTCGGTAGCACAAGATGCTGGCCATCACTCCAAGCAGCACCACCACTGCCACGGGGATGAGAATTGCAATGATTAATCCTACAGCTGGGGGATAAAAAAGGGAAGGACACTAAGCATATATCCAAAGTGATCAGCAAGTTTTAGGCCTTTTACAACACCCACAGTGATTAAAGACCATCTCATTAAACTCATGTAATAGTGGCCTGCAAAGTGGCAAAGTGTGACCTATTCCATTACCCTTGCACAAGGCCAATCCCACTGTGATTTTGTTCTCAAAAGCACTAGAATTGCACTTTCATGCTACCTGAGCTGGCAAAGCCTTTGGTAATGGCTCTAATAGGCCAACAATTCAATGCACAAACCACACTGTCTCTTATATGGTTTACAAGGCTTCTAATCCCCAAGTTTTAGCTCCAGTACATTCCCACTGCCTTCCTCCATTGATGTTAAGTGCCTCAAGTTGGATTTTTCATGTATTGTAGTTGCACCGCACTGTCTTTCATTAGAAATCCTTTTTTTGTTTTTTTTAGCCCCTCTCATTCCTCAAAGTCAATCTTTTTTTTTTTTTCCTAATTGCCTTTTTTGTGTTTGTTTCTGTCAGGGGATCAATAAAACTGAATTCAAAGCAGAGAGGCATCTGTTTACAATTCTGAAACTGATAAATATTTCCACAGTGTCTTTCTTCCCACCATCTATTAGCAGATATTCATCATGGGAAACCTGACAAAAACAACTAGCTGCTTGAGAAGACCAAGCTCAGACTCCACTATATTTAGTAGCAGCTTAGAACTTATTTTTCTTGCATACATTACCATGAACTACAAAGTAGCTGCAATAAGAAAGGATCTTTCCCTCACCCTGAACCGTACCAATTTTTGTACTTATAAATAACCAACCAAATGAAGGAAAAATCAGACTGTAGGCCCAAACTACCTAGGGAGACCAGAAAAAAACCCAACAAAATAAACTCAGCTTTATATACATTGTACAGCTCCTATGCTAAAGACTATTAATGAACATGGATAATCAACTTACAGTCCTCCTTTGTCACGACATAGAGGCTGTTTGGAGGGCTCAACCCACCAGCAGTGTAGGCTTGTAGCTCCAGCTGGTAACTTGTTTTGCCTTGAAGATCAAGTATTTTCATAGACTTCTGTGTTAAGTTAGTGATATTGTTCACTTTAAGTTCTGGATTCCCTGTTTGTTTGGAAGCAGTGAGAAAAGCATAACTGTGTAAGAAAGGATTCACAAAGACAGCCTGAGCTTTAGCAAAACTTTCTTGAAGCCAGCATGTGAAACCTGAAGAATAGTCTTTGTAAAGGAAAACTGAAATAAAGAATCCTAGCAATGCTGCTTGCTTATACAGCACCAAACAGCACAGGAGTGTGGTGTTGCCACTTCAGATTGACCTCATTTCCTTACACTCCTGCTTGTCCTCTTATTTCAATGTGAGTCAGGCTTCAGTTCTGTACAAGATGGGTCCTGGAAGAATACACCCTATTAAATATAGCCATGCAACCTCCCCCTGTCTCATCTACTCAGGGTATCTGTGCACAGGGCAGCGTGACACATTGCCGCTTAGTCACTGCATAACTTTATGGCCTGACTGAGCCAGGGTTTTCTCCAATTTTTGCTTTATATTGAAAAACAACCGTGCTAACCACACAAGGAGCTGATTATTTTAAATGCATTTGTCACATATCAAGGGCCAATTTTGTCAATGAGTAATGCAAGTGAATTATTATTAAAGCATCCTTTTTATTAAAGTGAAATTATTAAAAAAAAAAGAATAAAAAAGAAAAAAAGAAAGACAGTATAAGCAAGGAAGTTGCAATCTATACAATCCATTTACCTGATTCTGAAAGTCTAGGCTTTATAGCATCCTTTTCACCTTTTGCAAAGGAAAGAAGATACCCCTTTAGAAACCCTCGGCATTCTTCAATAGGAATATCTTCCCATTTTACCAATATAGAATCTGAAGAAGTTTCTTCGACAGTAAAATTTGGTGCACTTTTTGGCGCTGTAGGGAGAATTATGAAGGAAGAAACTAGTGAGAAATCACCTTAACATTAAATACTGAAGCCATGTAAGTGTTTAATCAGTTTTATTTCAGGGTTAGCATTTCCAACTTTTTCCTCAAGACTTCTTCCCTCACTGTCAAGAACATGTGAAAAGACTTAGTATATGATGCTACAAAAGTACAACCACGTTGGTCTCATTGTTATTAATTACTCCGGTATTATCTACTAAGAGAAGATGCTGAAATAAAAATTTCTCTTTGGTCAGTCTTCTTACAGTCTCATACATGTAAATACCCTTCTTCCTGCAACAAGCCCCAGAAGATTCTATAAACATTCTGAGGATACAAATTGCTTAGCTTTTAAAGGCTTTAATGCTAGCTTCATAACTTTTCTTAAAATTAAACAAACTCCACATTCCTATCTTGGAAATCTATTTCAGCGTAAAAGAACTGCTCCTAGCAGTCTTTGCAAGTCCTTACTCCAGTAACTGAAGCCTACTGAAAGGTCACATGCACCAGGACTTAGTCTGACACTTGGCTTTGATCTACCAATGCTAAACTCATGTTTAAGAATGCATCTATTTTTCTCTTGGTTATCTGTCCAAAAGCAAATCTGAAGTTTCACAATGCTATGCTCTTGTGCAACGTGAACACATTTCTTAGTTCCTGGTAAGTTTCTTCTGCATGTTCAGTGCATTTTTAGTCCCCCAAACTCTTTATACTTTGAAAGCTCCTGATATGGCCAGAACACATATGGAAAACTCTTCTGGGGAACTCTTCAGAACTTTTACAGATATACAAATGATTGAAAGTTGAGTTTCTGGCAATATTGCCTTAACCTCACCTTCAACCTTAGCAATGAAATAAACAACTGCCTTTCCAAGGGCTCAGATTATGTCAGCAATTTAGTTTTCCAGGCAAACTATTCTAGCAGATCACACACTGAACTTCAAAGCGAAATGGGTGTTGTAGTTACAATACAATACAATACAATACAGCTGTGGTCTTAAAGGGTAAAGTCATGTTCAGACACCTGGGAACAGAAAGCACTCAGACACTAATGGATCTCCAGGCCAGCAAAGTTTACCCCTGGGTCAAACCTCAGTTACCCAGACAGGATTAGCATGGGACAGAATACAAGCACAATTCTCAAAGTGGCTTGTGCTCTAAGATCTCGTTTTGGTCTAAGAAGTGTTTTCAAATAGAAATGTTAGGGACACTTTTTATAATTGCTGAGCTGTACCAAATGTGCTCAGAAGTTTACTTTGATTTGATGAATCGAAAAAAGTTGCCTCCTCTCCCGCAGAAGTGATGCCAGCCATGTGTTTCAAATTATGCCTGTGCCTACAATTCTCAAGACCACTGTCTTCAGAATGAACTTCTGTGCCACCACACAAGCTGGAGAACACGAGGTTATTGCATGCTTGGAACTGGCAGGAGAAATTTATTACAGTTATACACAGAGAACAAACAGAAGTCAGTAGTACCGCATGGCGATTCTGGTCTCAATCTTCTTCTGCCAACACTGAGCTAAAAATAGACACAGTCTAAATTCACTTTGTAGAGATCCTGAATGATAAAGTGCACTTACGCAGCTCTTTCATATACCCAGTTATGTTTTTCAACAACTGATATCCAGTGGATTTGCAGCCATACACTGAAAAGTTGTATCTCACGCCAGGTTTAAACAGAGCTGCAAGAGAAAATTGCTGTAAGAATATTTCACTTCTGAAGTATGGTGCTTTTAGATTTCACATGATTATGATAAAAATATGCATTAAAAAATTACAAAGTGTAATGGCATAAATTACCAATGGCAAAAAACACATCCCAACTTGTAATTCCTACAAAAGCCATGCCATCAGATGTGGTTTAGAAGCAGTAACCTAATCTAGCTCCCAGAGAAAGTTTAGTACTAAACAAAGAGGATTCAAAACAAGCTACTCAAATTGCATAAATTACTCTTTCCATAGGGAAACCCAAACTGAAGTTACCAGAAATAATCCCCTTCCTTTCCTCCCACAGCAACCATGTAGATCCTGCCTCCTCCTCAGAAATGCAAATACATTTTGAAATAACCAGTCTTATTGGAGCAACAGTACAAAAGATATGGAAACAACTCTCAAATGTGATAGTGAAGCACTTTAGCAATGAACTTCAGTCCTGAAGTGACTTTACAAAACAAATAGTCTTAAAAATTACGCTTCACATGTGTTTGATGGAGATACAGGTGTTTGATGCTACAACATGTAAATCATTTACCACTTTCTAGGCTTTTCTCAAGTCAGGGCTGTACACTACTTTCAAGATTTTTTCTAAACAAGATGCTTCTGTGAAACTATACAAAAGTCAAGCGTCCAGGTCCAGCCTGAGAGATTCTCCCGACAGGATTAAGCACAGAGGTGGATTTGCCTGCTTGAGCCCAGAGCAGCCAGCTTCATAACTTGCACAATGTGCTGCAAGAACCATTCCATGGAAAAGCTCAGGAGCAGGGCAGTGCATCGTTGGACAGACATGGTATTGTCTGCTTGAAAAAAGCAAGCTCTAGCTAGCACAAACAAAAACAACATGGACACAGTGTTGTAATTACAGACAGAAAAACATATTGCCCCCACCCTCCTAGGTCTCACTCCCCCTCAACTTTCCTATGTACACAGCTTCAAGTTGTTTTCCTGAATGGAGACTTTAATACTAAACTCTTCTAGAAAGGAAACATACACCTCTGCTGTTTGAGACAGCAGAGAAAAAAATCCTTTATCTTTCATGGGTCCTCTTTTTCCTCTTCTGCTCCTCCTTGTCCCACCACAGCTGAGTTTCATTTCCCTGATCTGCCCACCAGCATCTAGAGACCTGGAATGTGCCCTGTTCCAGGAAATTTCAATTGTTGACAGCAAGCCAACACATGGAGGTCACACTTAAAAAAATCTGCCTCATGTAAAAACAACGGATTAGTCTTCCCCCATCCTGAGCAGCACTGCTTATGTTTAGAATCCAAATAAAACCCCAAACCCTAGATTAACCATTATGCATTAGGCTGAGTTAGGAAATTGTTGGGTATAGCTAGAAGAGGTAATTTCAAACAAGTTAATAAACACAGGATGATAAAAGTTAAGTCAAGACTGGTATTTGGATTTGGCAAGACTGCATAAGAAATTAAAATAAACACAGTACCAAGAAGGATTTCATTTATTTACACAAGTATGCAGCAATGAAACAATCTTTAACCTATAGCACTGGTGCTGCTCTCACTCCACTCACTGCTCAGGCTCTCCAAAAAGACTAATATGAAATTACTTTTGACTTACCAGATTTTATCACTGCATTTGTTGTATTTGAAGGAAATTTCTGCCAGTCCACACTACAGGGTTCAGACCCAGATGAATGACACCATTTTACTATGTAGCCACAGGTCACGTTGGGGTAAGAATCCCAAGAAACATTAATTCCATTCCCCATTGCCACGGCCTGTCCTGTTATGATATTGTCTGCAACAAAGATGACACAAAAATCAGAGGGCAGACACTTGTCTATAGTCCAAGATGAAGAAAGCCTTCCAGACACACCACAATGGCTTTATAAATGGCAGTCATTTCTAAGAATGAGAGGTGTGCATGAACTGTGAAATCCAAAGTGTTGTACTCAGCTGTGCTTTCTGAAGTGCCCGAAATCAGACGTAGCCTGCAGCAAATCCCTCAGCCAGCCTTAAGTATGGTGATGAGAAATGCAGCAACTCAGGACTGGCTTAAAAAGCACTTTTGCAAGGTAAGGATTTACAGCAGATGTCAGATTCAAATATGAATTGACACCAATCTGGCAGGAGCCTCCAGCTATAAATTCCTGCTGTCATTTCATCAAATGGTTTGCTTTGTGTTTCTTTCAGAGTGTCCTGCTGTCACTCGCCCAACCACAGACAACCATTTTTCACCAAGAATCAACAGCAATAATCACATCCCTGGCATGGATGTGATTTATGATCTTTATGGAGGCTTCAGTCTACCAAGGGTAAATTAAACAAACAAACAAAACAAAACAAAACAAAAAGGCAAGCAAGCTTTGCCTTTTGTCTATTTTTCTTTTTTCTGATTATCAAAGGTTTAACTTCTCTTAAAGTGATCAGCTCTAGGAACAGCTCCGGATTCCTGCAGCTTCCCTCCATGGCTGTCCATCAGCCAGGACCCTGCAGAGCTAAGGGATGGTTTCCAAGGGCCACCACAAAAGCAGTGGCCCCATGACAGATCTGCAAAAACAATCTCAGGGTTTTAGTTTTCCTTTTTCAGTGTTCTCATTTACGCTCCCTATTGAGTCTATTATTTCATTTTATTAAAGCTATAAACTATTGGAAGGATGAAGGGCAAGGACAGCTTTTAGGAATCAGTGCTATGAAAACTACTCTCACAGACATGCTGTGAATGCTGAAGAACTGTCTATTTTTAAATAATCTTAACATACAGCTAAGTGTACAGTCCTTTTCTAGCTTCCTCATGGCAAGAAAAAGACATGATTAAAAAAAGCAAGTCAACTCCACAAGTATTTCCATACTTTTTCCAAAAAAACTACTATGTATCCAGTGAAACTATACTTCTATGATGCTGGAAAAGACAGTATTTCTAATTACTTGGCTTTAATTTTCCCATTTACAGAAAGGAGGTTTTACTGACCATGAGCATATACTCTAAAAAATGCTTAAATACATGACACTCAATTTTATTTCCTGAGCTAAATGACTAGAAATTCACCACGAGCAGTACTGCTCATTTTGATGTATTTATAGCTGCAAAGTAGACTAGGAGAAAATAACTTCTACCACTAGAGTACTGCTGTGGTAGGGGAGCCTGGAACAGCCAGATTACATGCCCTGACTCTCTACAGAGCTCTTTTCAGAGACAGTGACAAATTAATTAAGGCAGAGTATCGTTTGTTTGTGTTTTCAGTTTTCAGACAACCTCAGCAGATCTCCAGCTTCAGAGCCACTGCTCTCTTATGGACATTAAAAGCACTTAAAAACTATACACAGGAAGCAGACAGAAAAGATGTTTGGGCAAAAATGTCATCCAGTTCAGTGAATGAGTCATCTTTCATGACTCCAGCCAGTGACTCAGATAATTCCTATACCAACTTGAGAGCAAATCTTTAATGAGTACAAGTTGGGTAACACCAAAAAGAACCTCAGACATCTGAGTGAAAGCTATAAATGAATGCTAAGCTGTAGCTGCCATCAGCTATCTCACACCACAAACCTATTACAGAGACCTCTCTGATTCCTAGGATTTTATACTTTCATTGCTGAAGGAGAGCTCTACAAGCACTTTCAATCAACTGTCCCATACAATTACTTTTCCCTCCAACAGGCATACTAAGAACATAATTTAGGGTGCTGATGTTGATACTGTGTCCAGTTCTGAGCTCCTCAGGAGAAGAAAGACGTGGAGGTTCTGGAGTGGGTACACTAGGGGCAATGAAGATGATTAAAGAAATGGAGCATCTCTCTTACGAAAACAAAAAACGAGGAAGTTGGGTCTGTTCAGACTCGAGAAGACTGAGAGGGGACCTCACCAGTGTCTATCAGGATCTGAAGAGAGGGTGCCAAGAGAATGGAGCCAGGCTCTGCTTGGTGGTGCCAAGCAGTAGAACAAGAGGTAACAGGCAGAAACTGGAGCACAGGAAGTTCAGTCTAAATACGAGGAAGAACTTCTTCACTGTGCACTTGAATGGGTTGCCCAGAAAGGCTGTGGAGTCTTCCTCCCTCCCTGGTCATATTCAAGAACCATCAGGACAGAATCCTGTGCCATGTGCTCTGGGATGACCCTGATTGAGCAGGGAGGTTGGACTGCTAGCTGATCCACTGTGGTCCCTTCCAAGCTGACCCATTCTGTGATTCTTTTTTTGGAGAACCTCAAGAAACATTATGTACATAGATACATTATGTACATACATTCTTCTTTACATAGACAAAACTCTTGTTTTTTCATCTCACTATGAATCTCAGCCAAAACACTTTTCTTCCTGTGAGAGATGGCCCTGTTTTACCAGAAACCGGGTTGCAAGATAGCAGCTATTATACCTGTTCTCTGGATGGGCAAGGAAAAGCAAACCCATGCATGCGCCTGGCAAACAAGCAGAGAGAGGCCTCACTGTGTAGATCTGTCCCCCACACAGAGCATCAGCCAGATCTGGAGCTAGAGATTTGGACTTTGGGAGATTATACTCTTCCTGTCAGGCAGGGAAACATGGACTCTCAATAACCATGTGCAATATTACCTTCTCCCCAAGTTCAGTGTTATGAGCAGAAAATGATTATCTGGCTCAGCTACTTCCCTTTACAAAAGCCCTCAGCAAGAGTGGCAGTGCTTTAATTGGGAAGCTAAAGCCCTACCTCCTTTTCACTGTCTGCCTAATACAAGGATGCCAACACTTTACCAACCAGCCCAATTAATATTCTCTTGCAGAGCTCACAGGCATTGAACTGACAATTCTCGCCTCAAAAAGCCACACAACACCCCCAAAACTTTATTGATTCTCTTTAGCATGTAACACTTCTCAGTGTCTCAAAAAGAACACCCAGAAATAAACTCAGCTCCCTAAATATCCACACCAATGCTTTGAAGCCTCATTCATTTTGTTTCTGGGAGGTTTCCAGAAAGTGCAAATAGCTGCAAAGAGTGCACACTATCACCCTTCTTTTATGTAGGGAGTACGATTAATTGGCAAGATATTACACTGAAAGCAAAGAAGCACTTTTTCCACTACATAGTAGATTTGGGTGGGGAAATAAACACAAACAAACAAAGCATTATTTTTCAATCAACAAACTTGTTCTGGCTTTGAAGGTTTTGAAGGCTTTGAACTCATGTCTGGGAGCACTCACCAGTTGGAAGCTCCACGCTTGTTATCCTTGAAGGAGGCGACGAGCCTGCTTGGTTTTTGGCTACAACACTAATTTCACAGTCATTTTTTCCAAGTTTTATCTCAGTACTGTTTGAGGGTTCAGTGACTACTTTATGCACCAGTGGTGTCTCTAGCAGGTAGCAGGACACTTCGTGAGACACTATTCTTCCATTGGCTTCAGAAAGGGATAAGGGCTAAGAACAGACAAAGAAAAACCATTAGACCAAAAATGCATAAAAACCCATAAAACTGAAATGCAATATACAGAAGACAATACAGGATAATATGAATTTAATGTTCCTGATCTAGTCTGATGTATAAGACTACGAGGTAAAGGAGTTATGCAAATGTGATTTTGAGAATTACCACGTAAGTTCCCAAGTTTTTAATTTTCAAATGGGATATATAAAAAGCTTAATTCTTGCTGTGAAATGCTTCTCAATGCAATGTTTAAAATTATAAAATTTCAATAATATTTTCATTAGGGGAAAAATATTTGTCTCAATGGATGATTCCAAAAAAAAAAAAAAAAAAAAAAAAAAAAGCTAAGAAAAGCAGTCTGGTTTATTGACTATAAACTTCATTAATTTATAAATGTGTGAGAAAATATTTTTTATACTGTTACAGTTACATATTTTAAAAGTTCAAGTGTCCTATCTACCTTCCAGAAGATTTTCAGACTTTCTCCAGAAGGACTTCTCTCTCTCCAGATGTCTGGTCCTCTTGCAGGAGCTTAGAAAAACGTAAGAGTGGTAGTTTATTTTCCCAAGTTGCCCAACAGACAATTTACCATCTACTGAAAAGTCAGGGTTTCAGATGACTAATTGTAAAATATATGGCCTCACAAGTTCAATAGTTTCCCTTCAAAGAGTCAGATAAACTTACGGGCTTCTGATGTTGTGTACTCTTTTACCCTGCTCCACTCACTCCACTTCCAGAAATGGTCAGCAGCTGAACAGCGCACCCTGAACTGGTATTTCGTATAGGGGCGTAATGGATTCAGATGAGCTGTGTAAGTCGAGGATTTCCCACCAGGCATGGAGACATTGTGCTGTTAAAAATTTACAGAAATTGACATAATTTTTTTTTTTTTCCTCCTAGATTATGCTGCTAGTCAGCGTCTAAAAAGGTGATATTTTTTCCCATGAATGCTGACAGTGTGAAAGCTGCAGTCAAGCCCTATGAAGAAAATAATGGAAAAGAAAAATATTTCCTATGCAACCACCCCAAACAAAGGAAAAAATTTCAGAGGTCCCCCCAGATAAAGTCATATATAGCACAGAAATTGAAATATGACAGCAGGTAGCACCTTTGAGTTGTAAAGCACGAAAAGAAGAGGAAACACTGATGAGCCTTCAACAGGAGGAGCTCTGCACACAGCGGGCTACTGCTTCCTTCCCATCTATCCCATCCTGTCCCCCGCTGTCCCATATGCAGCAAAACTGCACACATGACACAGGCCAGGATTTCACCTCTGGTATTCAGAACCTGCACTTCCACTGAGTACATGCACATTAGACTGTGTCGGGGCAGAGGCTTTTCTCCTAAGAGACATGCACAAAAGTACACTAAAGACAGTGTGTCAGACTAACATGTTTATCATGTAGTTTGCTTCCTCTGTTTTTCCTTCAAAAGATAGTATCTGAATCTAACCCAGGTGATCTCAGTTCACAGCTCTTATGACAGAACTAGTCTCTCCTATTATTCTTAAAATGGTGCAAGTCTACGAAGCATTTCAGTTTCATGATTACTTAAAGAAATCCTAAGCCTGGGAACATTTTTACTCCATCTAATTATAACACATGTGCACTGCAGCTGCCAAAAACTGGATTCCAAGTGACTTTAAGACGCAACTAATTGTGCATTTCTAAAGCCAAATGACAACTTCAAAAATACTGGAAAAGCCAACAATCTCTCATACGGATGGAAAAGCTTCTGAAAACATCCTCAAAATGCCATGTAAAACCCCATAACAATTTCACAGCTACTTTTGTTTGTTATGAAGAACTCCTGGAGTCTTTTTATTAAGCAACCAGTGACAACGTAACAAGCTGTAAAAGCTTCTACCAAGCTGTTTGCTGCATTACAAAATATCTGTAGCTGTGGACTCTGATACAGGTGCAGGGAATCAAACTTCTGTGGAAGTGTAAGACCTGACTATCTCCCATTGCCTGAGACGATTGTTCTGCTAGCATCGTTCACAAATGAATGCGTGCCCCATGCTTTGAGCTTTATATTCCAAAAATATCTATGAGTTCCTTTGCAGTACCTTATCTCTGGTATTAGTTAACACTTGTCATTACAAAGAAAATATAAAAGCTTAAGGCTTACGCACTCATTAAATGCTTTGAAAGTATTTTAAAAATACTCTTACAGAGCATGCATTAACTACTACCTTATTATTTTAAAGGCATGTACATAATGATTATCTTCAGTCTTAGCTGCATAATTTCTGTGGCTTGACCTAAGTTATTCCAGGCTGTGTCTAACCACTGTGCCCAACTAGCAACTAAATGCAGAGGTTAATACAATACTGCTAAAAATCAAACAAGCACTGTAAAAAGCAGCCTCAGAGGTTAATGTGCTCAAATTACAAATTTAGGCTCTGTGCAGCAAGACCTGACAATTCAGCATGTGCCTACCCAAAATGGTCGGAGATCTGAATGCACAAAAAACTGGGGGATAAATCTCAGGTCAACTGAACACAAAGTTGTCATTAGGCTTCCCTGGTGACACAGGTCACACCACACTAACTTAATCAGTACAGAAGAAGAGGATAAATTCCCACCACCTACACTCACTGTTCCGATGCCTGTGTCTAAATTAGTATCCTAAGCTCCTCTGACAGTCGGCAGAGTAAATATGCAGCTCCAGTCAGTGACGCAGAGCACCAAAGCTGGGCAGCAGCTGGAAGCCTGAATGGCTGAAAATCTGAACCTAACCCACAAATACCACTTCTCTCCTCACTGGGAGTTTACCTACTGATACATACAGTGGGAAAATCCTTCCCTATCCTGACTCTACATCACTGACATAAAAGGAGGTTTAGCAGCTGCCTGTTATGGCCACGTGCATATCAACTGCTGACAGCAAACAAATGAACTGTTCTCCGAGAGGAAAAAAAGAAAAGAGAAATTCAGCTGCAGACTACAAGATCTGAAACAACCACCATGGAAGCCTTCAGGGCAGCAGTGCATCCTGGAACAATATGTATATTAATAGTTAATATAGTTATAATAATAGTTAATAATACAATATGTGTATTAATAGTTAATGTTAAGTTTGCACAAGGAAGGACTAAGCACAAGGACTGTCACCTAAAGTATTAGCATAAAGCACTATGCACAGCCTCCAAGTACTAAATAGCATGGTGACTTTGACCTGAACTGCTTAAAACAAACACATAACAACAAAAAAACCCCAAACAAACAAAACAAACAAACAAGCACTCCCCTCCCCCCCAAAAAAAACCCCACAAAACACACACACACAAAAAAAAAAAAAAAAAAAAAAAAAAAAAAAAAAAAAAAAAAAAAAAAAAAAAAAAAAAAAAAAAAAAAAAAAAAAAAAAAAAAGAGGACGAAAAAGAGAGAGAAACTAAGCAGCAACAGAGATGAGCAGGAAGTTTTCCGATTTTAGTAAATGAACCTCTACTCATTACTACATTAATCGTTTAATAAAATTATCAGAATGAAGCTTTTAGCATGAGAAAAGAATTTGAAATGTGATTAGTTCAGTGAAAAAGACAACATCTGTGCCAAAAAAATAATCCATTAAAAGCAACACTTACTAGTTTTTGCTCAGAGTGACCACTGCTAATTTCAATTTGACACAGAAGCCTGATCTGAGCAAAGCTGCCATTTATAAACCAACGCAGATGAATGCCTGTAGAGTTGTTTTCAGAAACAGTCAACTTTTCTGGGGTTTTTGGATGAACTAAAAAATAAAGAAAAAACCTTCAGTTCTAAGTCAAAAAACCATATTCAAATCAGTGCAGAAAAATCTGATTTTAAAAGACCAAAGAGAATCAGTAGGATAAGTGATCCCATCAGCAAGTGGGAAAACTGGTGCTGGGAAAGCGCCTGCAAACAGTCTCATTCTTGACACTCTTCTCAGCTATCAAATGTGGAAACCGATTTACTTAAGACTGAGATAAAAAGCTGGAGACACAAATAAACATTTTCCCTTTTATTGACTTTATCAAAAAAGGACTGAGAATTCTAATCTCAAGATAGTTGATCTGGGATCTGGATTAAAAAAAATGCAACATCTTCACATTTAAATTAATTTTTTGGGGCGATGGCAGAATACTGTAACCAATGGGAATGCCTGAAATCTCAGCTGTGGTTGTGGAGATGGAAGGAAAAGGGTGGGGAAGACAGTGCTAAAAAGGTGGTCATCTTCCTTTCCTTGCTTAAACTGAAGGTCTAAGGAAAGAAGTTATTTCTTTCTCCAAACTATGACAGCAGATGATCATGGCTATCACCAACAGCATGTAATAGTCCCGATATTACCTTTTATCTTTTTGTGCTATGTTTTTTATGCTCCAGACCCTGATGCTGCAAAACTGTATGGTATTTTGCCCTATAAACAGAGACTGAAATACAAGGTCATTCACAGTTCATAAAGTTACATCTAAATTTAAATTATTGATGTGTAATAAAATATGAAGCAATATATAAATTTGCCCAGAGAAGCTGTGGATGGCCCATCCCTGGAAGTGTTCAAGGCCAGGTTGGACTGGGCTCTGAGCAACCTAATCCAGGGGGTGGTCTGTGGCAGGAGGTGGAGTGTGAGGAGTGTGCAGTGTTTTGGAACTAAAAGATCTTTAAGGTCCCTTCCAACCCCAGCCATTCTATGATTCCCTGATAAACAGCAGCTAGCTAATTATTAGATTACCAGTAGCATTCATATCAACAGTAGCAGTGTGTGCCATCTAGTAGCATTTCTGTTGAGAACTGTCATCTTCCTGTACACATCATTGCCTCAGAACATGTCCTGAGCTATTTTCAAATCCAAATTATTGAATACAGCAAAAAGCTGGTGACAATAAAGCAAAATAATGAAAAGTATACCATGTCAGAGTTCTTCAAACACCGAACAAACAAACAGCATGTATTACACATATCTTTCTGCCTTTTGAAGTCATTAGTATTACCTCTTTGAGTTATATCAACCGAAAGAGATGACTCTGCTTGCCCAATGGGATTGGAGACGCCTAATATGAAATCATAGGTTTTTTGATCAGGCAGTACTGGAAAGCCACAGACACGCTCTCTGTTCATTTCACTGACTTCGCATGAAACATTTTTACCAGATGTTCTATGAAGTAAAAAAGGAGAGGGAAAAGTTTAATTTTTGAATAAATTAATTTCTAACAATAGTTAGAAGTCTAGACTGAAAACACGGTACAGAATGATGGGTTCAGTTCACATGGCTTACAGAACGATTTGATTGCAGAGGCATATCTAACACCACAACGCAGTATAAAGTGGCATCAGTCATGACTTGCCCTGTTCTCACGTGAAACTCTCCTCTTCTACTAGCATAACATTTCCATTCTCTCACTTCTCAAAAGCCTGGAAAACAGGTAGGTCCTGTAAAACCACCTCACAAGTTACAACTAAGATTCTGACTTAAAGTATCTTTGTTCAGATCAGCATACATTTGCATTTAAAGAATTCTTTTAATTGCTTTCTGAACTAGTGAGATGCTACACACATTGTCTTTCTAAAAGCCCTCTCAAATCTGAACTAAAGTTTGTTACCTGGAACACATCTATTATTCCCAGTTTTTTTAATAATTATTTTTTAATCAATAGCAGGAGAGGTAGTCTGTTAACAGCCAAGACCAGTGGTACATCTCTGGGATTAAAATCTAGAGTGTGTATGTATATATATTTGCTTTAATTACAATCTGTGTGAGCTCTCTCATTCAGTAGCACAGATTTAATTAACTTCTTCCTTCAGGCATTTTTATTGTGTTCTAGCTGAGCTCTGAGCTCTCTCCACATCATACTCTCTATTTCAATAGTTCAGTGTGGGTTTAGAACAAGAATGAGAACATTTACCCTGAAATGCATCCCATCAGTCTCGCAGCTTAAGGCTGAACAAAACAAGAGTGGACAACATCCTTGTTAATAAGCTGAATATCAGCAGCGAGTGACTGGAGCTCCTTTCCTTTGAATAACTGCTCTCTTTTGTCCACCTCTTTGCACCCTACCCAATGACTTCTTTAGCACTAGCACCCTGGGCAACATCTGTGACAGTAACTCAATCGTCATTGCCTCTGATTTGCTTCAAAGCCACCACAAGACTCCATTTCTCATCAGTTTGTGTGACTCAGGCTTCTCCTGGCTCTCTTTCCTGACTGCTTCTTTGGCATTACATGGGAGCCTCCTCACCATGGGAATTTTGTTAACTCCTCACTAACTTATAATCAAAACAACCAAGGAATCCCAATTGCAAGTGCTATTCCAACAAATGATTCCTCACATTCAAGGCTTTACATGGCCTACTCTGTAAGACGATGTAGTGGGACATCACTCGACTGCTTTCTGTGTTATTTGTCCTTTTCAACATTATACAGGTAGTACGTACTTTGCTTGCTCTACACTATCTAATGCTTAATGCTGAGAGGAGAACTCATTGCTATTTTTCCTAGTGGCATGGGAAACGCACCATGACCTGTCTTTATCAGTGGGCTTCTGCTATCTTGCCTAGCAGAAGTTCTGACAGACAACCTGACCCAGGTTTCATATAAAAAAAAAAATTAAAATTACTGATTGACTCCTATTATCTCCGTGTATTTTCATATTGGTCTTATCTACCAAGAAGAAAGGCAGCAGCCTCACACTTCAAGCCCTTTATTTACTTCTGAGTTCATAATGGCATAAACCTCTGGGAAAAGTCATCCTTAACTTCCATTGGAATTTTGCAGGTCTAGACAAGGGTTTTCCAAGTTTAGTTTAGTTACAACTTCCAGAAACTCTTGGAAACTATTTTAGGCTCTAAACAATGAAAACTATCACATTTAAACAGGCATGGTGCAGTAAGTCACAGGCAGCAATGGAGGTATTCCAGTTGTACCCTTCTAATCCTTTTAGTGCTGATTAATTTTACCTTTCAAATAAACTGTACTTTGTTCTTCGTTTGCCATACAGTCCACTGGGTCTGCCAGGTTTCCAGGTGCATTTTATTATCTGGAAATTGGGTGTTTCACAGCTGAGGTTTTGGGGAATATCAGGAGCATCTGCAGCATGAAAGGAAACCAGAAGAGTTAGCTGATGTTCTGCCTTTCTAGTGTGACATTTGGGTCACTGGCTTCCTGAAAACATCACCATTTGGTTTTTCTGGGTCTGGATTGCGGGCTTCACAAATACATGGCAATAGTTACACTCCAACCATACAAGTAATACGCCTTTAAAAAGTCACAATAAAGCAGATGGATAATTATTATCAGCCCCATCTGACTAACACTTGACTCTAAGATTCTTAGTGGGTGGGTAACCTGGTAAATCACATGCAAACATATTAACAAGCTCCAGGCTCTGACCTGAAAGTGTTTCACTGAAACTCTGCCAAGACTTTCTTGAAATTCTGAGCATCAGTTTAGCCGCTGAACATGCAGGAAAGCTGTCGGCTGTGCGTCACATTTTCTAACATGCCAGCCCCACCACTGTTTTGAATTCTTCAAAACAAGTCACGTCAAGGAGGTGGTCCCTTTAGCAGGAATTCCACACTGAATCTGAAAGTTAAAGCAAGCCCTGAATGGCTCATCCCCTTAACCAAGGCTGTGGAAGTGCCAATTTTTTTCTTTTAAATCTTGTTTTTTGCTGTTTTACTAGGATAGTTTTGAGTGCCTTCCTGGAAAAGATGGGCAGTGTTCCCAACAGAGAGGGTAACCATGCTAATGTGAGAGTAGGCAGAGCACTTATTTCAAGTCTCATACATTTGATATGTATGAGACTGGAAAGGTGTGCCAAAGGTAGCACAGTAATATCCACATAGCTGCCCTAGAGATGGGGCGACAGTGGCAGGTTTAGTTCAGATTATGAGCAGCAGGCCAAAAAAGAACACCTACTTTGCCAGACCTAGGCTTAACCAAAGCACTATGTTTCCTTCCTCTACCTTTTCTTTCCCAAATGTCTCTTATCAGCAAGAGTACCATGACAAGTCCTCTCCCTTCCCACTAGGTGGATAACACTAGAAAAAATATTGACAGGAAACAGATTTGTGTCCCATCTCTTTACAAACCACTGCATAGGAGAAACCTGTGGGATTACCAGGGCATTCTTTCTTGAATCAATGACTTAATTACCTGGATGATTCTCCCACAAAGGAAAATATGGTGCAAATAATGTAAAAATGTCATACCATTGAGAAAATATAAAAAGGCTGAATTCTGTTTTGCATTTGCTATCGCAAACTTAATAGATAAAGTTAATGAGAGGACACACAGCTTGGAGATGGGAGCATACTTTCAAAATGAGTCCTGTTTTTCTTATCCCTTTCCTCAACCCCAAGGATCCTAAGTTCCAAGGCAGGTAGTTGTAATGGGGAATGGGATTATAAAGAACACCTATTGGAAAATGATAACCTTTGTGTGGGGAAAATACACAAAGCTTTAAAGTGACCGATTATGAAAAAAAAAAACACATGAGGTACAACAGGTATCTGCTTCTGGAACAGATTTCTGAGCCTGGCTGAGAAGATGCAGAGTGATTCAGTAACTTTAAAGAAAATACTAAAAGGGTGTTTTAGAAGAGTGTCCAGAAAAGATGAACTGCTGGCTGTTTTCCTTTGCTGTAATTAGCTCCCAAGGAGCTACTGCACTGGATGAGCATGTGTTGTTGTTGCAAATCTAAGTGTTTTATTGTCTTCATTTGACTAATTGGTAAATGAACGTTTGCATTTACAGTTTTTGCTCTCACTCTCATCTTGTCATGGACTAAACTAGAACAGATGTAAACCTAAAGTGACACAGATTGGGGATGAATATTCATACAGCAATAAACTACTAAGTGTTCCAGATCATGAAAAAGTACCTCAGAACAAGAGATCAATGAAAGAAGCATTGGGCCAGGTTCTAAAAGAAGAGGGCTCATATGGGTACCTTCTTATCCTCCCAAACTTGGTCTCTTCTCCATAAGCTGGAGTTGCCACAGGGAAATCAAACAAGTACAATCCCAGTTCATGCTCAAAACCAAAGGCCAGGGGGAAAAAAGCCACAGAAGTATTTGTTTCCTAGCAGAACTCCAAGAGTCTCAAAACAATTTTGATTTTCCTAAGGTTAGTAAACATAATGATACATACATCCTACAAACAGGACAGTTCCCTCCATCATTCCGTTGTTGAGTCTGCACACTACATTTGTGCCACTGGTATCTGAAGCACTGGCATTTAGTACTCTGATTGCATGGCTCCGACTGCTCAGCTGTATCATTGGGTAGGGCTTCGATCCATAACTCATATTTGTAATGTTCTGACCTTCTTCATGGACACAACAAAATGTCACATCTGAACCTACTGCCACCACAGTGTCCAGAGGAAACACTCCACTCTCACTGGGATCGGTATCTTTTCCTAGTAGAAAAGGAAGAAAACAAAACAAACAAACGAAAAACTCCACATGAACAACTTGCTATAAACATGGTGCTGATCAGCTAAAATGTGACTGAGGAGCATTCCAGTGCACACAAATAAATGTTTACTAGTTTTCATTAACTAGTGATTGCATTATTTCTTCAATCAAAACATCCTCAAAGCCAGCAGCCCATCAATGCCTAATGCTTTTCCTCTGATTTTGCCTCACTTCTTACAAAGAAATCAAAGTCCCTGTGGTGGCAAGGGAACAAACATACCAGGGATCATTTCTACTGGGCTCCAGTCACTCCACTCTTTGAGGCCAACAAACTGTGTTGCATTAATATAACAGCGAATCTTCACATAGTGCGATGTGCACTCCAAAGGCATATCTGATGTCCAGTTCCAAGAAAGAATGATGTCTTCATGAGTCAGTTTTGAGTGGTAAGTAACCTGCAAAGTTTTCACACACAAAAAATAACAAAGACAGAGTTTATAAACATCTGCTCATAATGACATATCATCTCCCAGGTGTCAACAGAATGGCAAATTAAATGAACCAAACCATAATATCCTGACAGATTGCTGGAGTGTCCCATTTACTTTCGGTTGCACAGTGAATTTTCTTGGACAAAAGCCTAACTTACTAAACAGCCCACCAGCCAGGTAGACTGCCTGCCAGGAATACCGGAGGGCAGACATTTGAGAGAGAGCAGGAAGCATACCAAGCATTTAAATAGGTATATACTGCATCCCAGTATCCTGGGCCTCTCCTAGGCAGTGAAATGTTCCAAATTTTCTAAAATGTCCCAGGCTGCACATTTCGTCTTTTCTCCATTACTGAAATGTTTAGAACAGAGCTACAAATTGGCTTGGAAGAACTGTGGTTACAAAAAAAAGAAAAAAGCAAGCTGAGCATTCAAAGACCAAGACTTGAGACACAGCTGGAGAAGTAGAGACAATGGTGTAAAATATCTGCCAAATTCATAAGCAAGTTCTAATTAAAAAATCCCTGTACTAGATTAAAAAAATAAAATAGTGTGACTCACTACTGACAGTATAGTAGCCAGTCTTCTTTTTAAGTTCCAAAGTTTTGAGAAGTTACATACTAGAAGCATGACTAGAAGGTTCTACAAAGCTCCACAATCTTCATCATTCTCAGCTTTCTTTAAACAACCTCTCAGAATATTACCAAAGGCAAAAATTGCATATATATTTTTCATAAGGGAAGAAAAGGACTTACTTGTGTGACTTTTTCCATTGTTTCTTTTCGGAGTATCTGAATCTGCCAAACAGCATCCAGTCCATCTGGGAAGAGTGATCCATTATCATTCCACTTCAGATTTAATGTGGAAGTTGAAAAGTCAGGCGTTAAACTAAGAATGCGTGGAGTGACAGGAATAAACACTTGAAAAAGAGAGGGAGAGAAAAAAAACTCATATTCAAGTCATTAGTCAGCAACACCAGCCCTACAGGTGTTCAACAGCCACAACCCTCTGCTCTGAACTGGCTAGTAGCCATATAAACATGTAACTCAATCTCTGTAATTAGAACAAGAGAGGCTCTGTCATTACTTGAGTATTGAAGTTCTCAGGAAAGCACAGGTGCTGATGAATCACCAGGTAGCATTTTCTCTGGATATCTCAGCATGCAGATGTATGAGTAATTGGTCATGAATATGACTCTTCATAATACATAGTAAGGAAGGAAGGTATCCTATGTTTTATAACCTTCATTCAATACTGCAGAGGTAAAGGAAACATGGTGACAATCTTTGAAATGTACATGAGAACATTTCTAGGGAAGATGATGGAAAACCATCTCCAAAAGAAGTAAGTTTTGGACACCAGTAAGGAAGTGGTTATTTGCAATGAAAGTGAGAGTAGGGAGAAAGGAAGAGCAGAAGCAGAGGATGGAAGAAGCTCACATGAGGGTCTGAAGAAGATCATGGGGAAAGTGATTTTAAGCTAAAAAGAAATACTAAAGGCATGACATCATGATGTGGACAGGACAGGGAGATTAAACAGAAGATGAAGCAGGAAACTGAGAAGTAGGGAAGAATTATAGTAACACAAGGGTTATGGCAGTTCGTTGGGCCTGCTGCAGGATAAAACATATTTTTAAAAATGTGTGATACATCCAATTCAGTCCTGAATATGGACCTGAGAGCCTGCAAAGTGTTCAGCACAGTTCAACTCTGCCTATAACAACCTGTGATGAACCTGAGAAAGTCATCCTGCCTGGAGTCAGTAACATCCTGGAGAACACAATGCCTTGCCCAAATATTTGTGAGTTGCATTTAGTTAAAGTTCTTGAGCTGCTCTCAACTGTAAACAGAAGCATGGATAAGGAGTATTACTGACATTAGAATCTGACTACACCAAAGGAGTAAGTAAGCAAACCAAAATCAAAGCCTAGAGCAAACATGGAAGATGGTGCCAGTGCCATCTTCAGTTTACAACTTCCTCCTTTGCATGAAGAGAAGTGGGAAAAAATCTGATTTATTTATGACAGCAACACGAAGCAGTGTATCTCCCAAGAATAAATGTATTTCCTCAGCTTCATATACAGCTGAACAGAATGGGTAAGTTGTGCATATATTAGGACAATATAATCCTGTCAGGAGTGACATACGATACAACTTCCCTTGAAGTGTTCTGAAATTGCAGGAATAAGCTACTTCATTCTGTAGCACCCAAATTGGAAGAACAGGCACTAGGAAGTTTATTCTGCCTTTCCCAAGCCAAGTCTGACCAAATGCACTTTAAAACCCATGCAAGGTACCTCAGTATGTAGATTAGGAATTTGTTTACAAATCCTTCCTAACTTTTAACTAAGATTAAAAAGGGCAAAGGGTGAGGAACGTAACAGTGCTGTATTTTGTTTTCCTTGTCACACTGTGCCCTTGATTTCTCTGCTATGATCTACAGGTAAGAGGATTATTCTTTCCTCTGAAGGATTAGAGAAAAAAACCTATGATGTATGGTGGCTTCATACGTACTCATCACATCAACATTTTACATACAGGAATACTGTCAAAGAAAACTGCAAGCATATACACATCTGGAGAATTGTTAAACACAGTATAAAGGCTTTGTGTACACACATAAAGCCTGATACTTACACACATCTTTCTTGTGAATTCTAAATTCTTTCGTTTCAGAGATGCTGTTTGTGGTTATTGTCACTGTGCTGGAGCTATGTGGGACTGGAATCTCAACCCTTTTCTCCTTAGTTTTAAAACACACCGGAGTGGGGAGGTCACTGAAAAGATACAGAGGATTAAGCAGTTATTTCAGCTGATAGGCAGCTAAGGCAAGTTAAGTCCTGTTCTTGGACACTAATAAAATACAAATTCTCTCTAATAAACAGAGAGCTCCATATCAAGTTTGTGAAGGAGTGAGACTCGCATGGGCTTTGGTTAGTATCAGATTAACAGGCATTTCCTCATCTTTCAAGTCACTTTCATTGCAGTCATTGGCTGTGCACTAGCTGCATAATGCAATTACTAGTTATTAAGAGAACACTTCAAAGTGAAAACTTGACTTTTTAAAGAAAATCATAGAATCATAGAAGTTTGGAAAAGACCTTTAACATCATTCATCACAAATGCAACTGTCAACCTAGTACCAGCACCACTAAACCACATCCTTAAACGCTATATCCACATGTTTTTTGAACTCTTCCCAGGGTGGTGACTCCCCTACTCCTCTGGATAGTCTGTTCCAATGTTTTACAAACCTTTCTATGAAAAAAATTTCCTAATATCTAATCTAAACCTCCTCTGGCATAACATGAGGCCAACAAAAGAAACATTTTTGAAACCTACAGTCACCATGAATCAATATCTAAAAATAAGCAAAATAAAATAAAAATTAAAATAGTAAAAAAAAAAAAAAATTAAAAAAACACAAACAAAGTACATCCCCCAAAAAAACTCAACAAAAGCCCAAACTTAACAGTATCCTCCCCCCCCACCATTTATGTTTCCTCACTCCCTCTCCCTCCATTTCTTCTTAAAGTAATGGTATATTGGGAGCAGGTTTACCACCTGTGTCTGTATCTTAGAATAAATCTTCTAGCTCACTTGTGCTGCTCAGCTCATGAGGAAAGAGCAGAGGGCAGCGGAGAGGATGGCTAAGATTCCCGGTGAAAATACAGCCTGTGCCTAATGTTTGTGCAGTGCTCAGCACAATGTGATCTGGCTTTTGACTTGAGGATGCAGATATATAGAGGAAACAATAATGGATTGGTCAAGTCCCTTTGCTCATTATCACTGATACGCAACTAGAAAGGCAGAAAGTTTGGAAAAATCCAGACCTTCCTCTTGGGGCAATGACGGGAGGAAGGAAAGCAGAGAGAACAATGCCAGACTTCCTGCTGAGGGACTGTTACTCACTTATGAACTGGAACTGGACCCTGGAGCTCCCATCAGCTGGAGTCAAGAGCTTGGGCTGAACTCTTTAAGATTCACACAAGACTCTGGGCTAGCGAAGCCAGCTGAGACTTGAGTGCTCAGAAAGACTATTCCTCCTCTGTACTGAGATATTATTAGAGGATGTTTGGGCAACTGAAAAACAAAACCTCTTTCCCTCAGGGATGTCTGCACTAAGCGCAGCTCTCACCCTCTTTGCTTCAGGGCCCCCAGCCTGTTCTGCTTTGCTAAGGAGAAACAGCAGCAGCTACATGATTGTTCCTGTTTAGAGGGCAGTACCTCCTGAACTCTGCACTCCTGAACTCTGGCCACAATGTCGCATATATGGATTGTTTTTTTTAAATTAGAAATGATAGCTGGCAATGCAGCAGGAATAATGAGACACAGAAAATCAGGCATGTAGGTGGACTAAGTGCAGCCAAGCCCTGGGACCCCAAGGAAAAGTCTGGGCTGCCTGCAGAATTTACAGGAAAAAAGACAGTATAAATATCTGGACTGGGGGCAGGATCAAGATGCAGAATGGATTTGAACTCATCCCTAGCACATGATAAGTATTTGGCAGATCCACTGCATGGAGATTTGAACATGTAGTTCTCATTAGTGAAAAAAAAAAAAGATTTAAGGTGTTTTTTAACTTTTCTCAAAATTCTCAACTCTCATTCACTTCAGAAAAGCTATTGAATTATGAAATAATTTTTAGGTTTCCTCTAATACAATGCTCTTCAGATGGTTTAAAATTTGTAAAGATTGTAAGGCAGCCACCAAGAGATTTTTCTTATTTTTCCACATGTGAATCTCAACACTGATGTCATATATTCTACCGCTTTGGCCCATAACATCAGGATTTGCTGCTTCCAACTCTCATTTCCTTTTGGACTGAACCTGTTTTGAAGATATCCCTCATGAAAACTCTAAGCAAGGGATAGGCAGACACACAGAGAAGTCTGAGTAAATAAGAGCATCTTCCAGTCCTTTGAAAAGAGCAAGCAGATTTTGGCAGGAAAATTGTTAGCGTGGAACAACTTTGCCAGAAACCCTGCCATTGCCTGAGTTAACAGGGCCTGGAGGGAGCACCACCCAAGGAAAACTGATGGGGAGATGCTGGGAAAAAACAGCATCACAAATTCCATGGGCAGCGACTCAGGAAAAACTGTAGTTTCATCACATTTTGGTATTTTTCAACCAGGTGTATGTGGGACTTACTTGGTAGTGTAGCAAAAGTCAGTTTGTCCGTGTCTTCTTCTAGGAGACACATCCCAAGTACAGATCATTTTGTGTAAATTGTGCGTTACACATTTCAAATTCTGGGGGTGCCCTAGAGAACCTGAAATCATAGAAGAAATATAGTCACAAAACTGCAGGTCAAAAGTGAGCAACTGTAAAACTTACTGCTATTGTTCACATCTGTAGCCTTTCTTTTTACAGTTTTATTGCATGCATGTCTGGCCAGTATTTGAAAATTGTTGAACGATTTGTGTGTCTGATTAGAAAGCCACAGACTCTCAGATTTCTAGAATTACCTAAGATCTGGGTTTGTACTCGTGTGCATAACACAGGCAGCTGTCTCTTTCCACAATATCCATTCCTTGCCTAGCCTAATAAGCAGGCTTTGGGCCAATGACAAAACCACAATCTTTGATGATAAATTTAATGAGTTTTTTTCTCTCCTCCATTGTCACACACGGAGGGCAATTAATGACAGAAGGGTAGTTAATGACAGTGTGTGAAATTATCGAAGACAGTCTATACATAGAGTGTTTCAATGCAGGTGTTTACATCAACTGCATATGGAGACTATTAGTTGCATTATGGAGAATTTAACGCCCAGTTTTGCACTGGTTTACAAGATGCTGATGGGTGCTGAAAAGAGTTATCTCTATCGCTAGGATGGTGTGGGGCCACAGAGGTGACAGTTTCTGAATATACATTTAGTAGGACAGCAATGTAATTACAATGTGTTAGTACAGAAGCTCAAAAAAAAAAGTAATTAGTGAATTATACTGCCATGAACTCACCTATCTCTTGGCAATATACTAAGTTTCTTAAGCATAAAATAGCAAGTGCTAAAAGGCAGCGGAGGCTTGAATTCTTCCACATTCTTCTACTGTTTGTTTTCAGAACAGCAGCTTTAAGCAGGAATAAACGTCATCTTCCAACAAGCTGGTCAGTTCTAAAATTAAACACAAAAATAATAAAAAAAACCATAAAAATTGTAGAGCTGGTACTCCACAAATGCCACATTTTATTCCATCTACTTTTCTGCTTCAGTACTGTTCCCCGACTTAGCAGCTCCCTTTCATTCATCTGTCAAGCAAACCTTTTCTCTATCCCAACAACTCCTCAATGCATACATTTTCAGTAAGACATTTCAAATATACCCTCAAGAACCACAGACATGAAAAACAATGGTCCACAGGCATCATTCAGGACCATCTGATATCAGAACAGGAGAGACATGGCATCCCCTGGAACAAGCCTCTTCAACTTAGATGAAATGTCACATTCACAAAGGATCCTGAACACCACGAATGGAAATATCCCATGTTTCATTTATGCATTTAAGAGGATAGGATGGACCATCTGTTTTCTTCTTTTCTCTTCTCATTTTTCATTTTGCTACTATTCAAACCTATGGGATGCCTGAGACATTGCAGAACCAGATCGGATCACCCAGCATCACTGGTTCAATCTGGAGTTAAACAATAATGCCTGGAGGAAAAATAATGGGAAAAAAAATATGTGAGCCACTTGTCTAATGGTAAAGGATCACTGTTCATCTGGAGGGAAGAAACACATTTAAAAATAATTTTAATTTCACTATGTTCTCAAACCACCTGAAAACCTCAATAAAAACACAATAATGTAAGCTACACTACCCCTAGACACACTCAGTTCTTCTTTTGTATATTGCTAATCTGTAATATCCATGCAGTGAAACTTGTTAAAAGCCAAATCAAATGCAGAGGTTGACAAATCCATGTTCAGGTAAAGAGTAAATCACAACTATGAATTACAAGAAATCCAAGTCATACCAAGTTTTCCTAACTCAAGCACAGTTTTAATTTCTATTTCAGAGTCAGGCACAGAAGGGAACCTATGTACTCTTATGCAGGGCATGATGAGTGTCTTGTAAACCACAGTCTTTCGTAAGAAGCGTAGACTCCCTGGCTCTTGTTTTCTTATAAACATTTTATAACTTGTTGAAAAGTTGGCAAATAAAAGCCTCGTGTCACATAATTAAATGCCATTAGTCAGGAAAAAAGATCACCATTTATAGGCTTGTTTTAATTATAAAGTTACAAAATAATTTAATTACTTTAAAAATAGGAAATTCACTTTCTTTGGATGAAAGCTGCCTTCCATCAGTTCAAGACTAAATCAAACAAGGCATGGAGGTTTTTCCTTAGCCTAAAAGATATGAAAAGTATGTTATTCTCTAGGCAGTTCTCTTAGGATGTACAGGACTTTATATCCTAAGAGTCAGGGATATTATTTAGGACAAGAAAACTCAGCATTGTCAGAGGAAGGCAAAATCTTGACCATGGCAGTCTGGAGCTCAACAGGAGCAGTTACTACCAAGTGCAAATGTCTTTACACTGCAAGTTTATTTTTAAAAAATGTTATGAAGAGGTTAGTCCATTGTCTCCACCAGACTAAACTGCAACTAAACCACTTTTAACAAGTTGTTCATCTTAAATAATACCAGCAATAGCACATCCTATAACAATCTAATTTGCTTGGGCAATATACTCGTGTCACTTCACTGGTACTATCATCAGTGTTCCAAATGTGCTCCACAACTATCTCTTGCTCCATTTTAAGCACATTACTTTGTCCTATCTCCAGCAGACAAAGAACAGTTTGCCCTCTGCCTTGCAGCAGCCTCTTACAGAGAAGATGACTGATACCAGATCTCTAACAGCGTCTCCCTTAAAAACTCCTTTTTTTTTTTTTTTTTCTTTTTTTACCATTTCCCAGTCTCAGTTTCTATATTTCTGATCATTCCTGGAACAAATGTTGCTCTGTGAACCAAAGCTGCTGTATCTACAGCCTTGAAATATCTCTGCCCTGAGGCCTGAGCATTATCAAGCACAATGAAGGAACTTTTCTATGGCAAACCTATGCGTAGTATGTGTTTACATAGCTCATGCCATGTTTGCTTTCTCCCAACATTCAGACCTTGTTGACTCAATTTCAGTGTGCAATCCAGCCCCGGATACTGTATAAAGCTGCCACGTAGCTGTTTATTTAGTACTTCAGACTCCAATCTCATCCTCAGATGGACTGCAAAGCTCCTGACTTAGGGTGAGTGTATTTGCACAGCACATTCATCTCAATGGCCTTGCTTGAAATGGTCTTTCACTTCTGAAATTTTCAAATAAGGAAAGAACTTCTCATAAATCTATCCTAAGGAACAACACTGCATGTGTCTACAAAAAGTATTCACATGCAAATTTATGCCATACTGACAGCAAAGGCTTGATGGGCTTCAGTATATAACTGCCCATATTTAAGAGAATCTACTAAAAGGAGGATTCCATAATAACTGTTGGAAGCTACAGTACATGGGGATGTCCTGACTTCTGCCCAGGGTTTTATGTTGTGCAGAGGAACTACCCTTGTGCGTGAGGTTGGAAAGAAGAAATTTTAAATTCCCTTTTATGCAGGTAAGGTAGAAAGGAACAATTGGATTTAGATTCCTATTCACTGAAGCCAACAACTGATGGTTGATACTTAAAACAGCTCAATACCCACCATGGACTTTTAAATTATTTTTAAAGATGTTTTGATGCAGACAGTGCACCTACTTGTGATCAAAACAGATAAGAGAGGAAACAGAACTCCAAGACAATAATGTGCACCTGGGAAAATATCTGTGGAAGCTTTGCTTCAAAACCTTGTCAGCTGTAAAGAAGGTTAAAGATTCTGTGACCTGCTGAGAAAAGGAGAGCATTTAAGCCATTACCAGCCTCTTTAAATTTAACCTCTTGAAAGGAAAAATAGAAAATAACTGGTATGTCTCCTACTGACTGTGTTTCTTGTTACATATTTTTTGGCTTAACTGATTCTGCGTATCTTCTTTTTTAAAAGCATAGCTGACCAAATCCTCAATTTTCTTCAAAGGGGAAAAAAAGTGGGGTTTTATTCAGTTGTATCAGATTAGTTCTCTAAGCACAAAACTTCTCCAAAGCTTTGTTCTACTGTTGAGTTTTCTGGTCTCAAAGTGTATTTCATTGTCAAGTGCTTGGAAACCACTTTGAAAACAAACAAACAAAAGAGCTAAAAAAATATATAAAAAAATCAATAAACTTTCTGGTCTGCTTTCTGCCTGCAGTCTGATCTGACAGTCAAAAGCCTCCAGATCTGTTTTTTAAAAATGTCTACAAACTGAGGATTAGTTGCCACAGTTTTCATAGAAATGTTTGTGCTCCACAGGCAGATACCTGAAAAAGAAATGGTTAAAAAGTCATCTTATACAAAAGGTTTAGGGAAACTGTAAGTTTCCCTAAGATGAAACCAGTAAAACTACATGTATTAAACATAACAGAAGAAATCTGGTTGTCCATAAATTTTCTCAAGTTACAAATTTTTTTTGTCCACAATTCAAAGTATCATCACAATAATTTGCCACCATTAAAAGCTCTCAAGGAAAATGACATAGCACATCACCAAAATGTTGTAGAGACTGATGAGAGGCTGCATTTTTGGCAATACTGAGCAGCCACAATCCCAAATAATCAAGCAGAAATGGAGGTGCTAAGTCTGTGCCTAGATCAAACCTTATTGCTAGAAGAAAAATTACTCTGTTCAGCAAGTGGAGAAAGCTCATTTTACTTGTCTCTGCCCAAAGATACTAATACAACCTTCAAAGTGAAAGAAAACACACTTACATGCAGATAAAAATGCATATATCAAATTACACATCCTATTTTTGCCAACAGAAAGCTTCCAAAAAAAATCCCCTATCTAAAAAACCATGCCAGAAGTACACATTTCTGGGAAACCAAGCAAATTGCCAATACAGCTGACAGTAAAGGCAATGGACACAGAAACAGAAGATGAACTGGCTTCCTTTAGAACAGCTCTGCTGATCCCACAGCCTTCATTCTTTGACTTTAAAGCTAGCTGAGTAATAAAAAAAAATGAGAGCAGAATTAATAAGATTTATTTGAGGGAGCTTGGCTGTTTTTCAATAGAGTACATTCTTCCATGTCCTTAAAAAAATTTCCAAAGTTGAGACAAAAATCTTCAGTAATCTAAATGCAGGCTTTCCCTCTCTGTTTTATAACATGGCACCATTCCACTTTATAAAAGATTTGCAGGACATGAATCACTAAAACTCGTTTATAAATGAAAACTGAATCCCATTTGGGAATCTGGCTTTCCCCAGTTCTGAGGAATTAATGTAAAAATCTGCTATTTCGCTATCTAAAAGCTGATAAAATAATTCAAGTTGCCTATGTGCACGCTCTCCCCTTATCTGTGGCGGAAGAAAAGGAAACAAAGACAGGGTGTTAATATATTATTCAGTAAATGTGCAGGAGTACACAAGGCCAAATTTTCAGTCCTATGAGACATTTGTTTTGTTGGGTTTTTTCCCTGTCAAGCGCAAGGAGAAAAATTCCCTCCTCACTGCTTCCTCTAGCTGCCAAACAGCAGCATCACCTCTGAGATACTGGGAAGCCACTGCAGTTATCTTGCAGCCACCTCAGCCTGCCTCTGCTCTGCAAGGTGAGGTGAGAAGTCAGGACACAACACACAACATAAGGATCAACACTTCAACAATTAATTTTCCTGGTCACAAGCACCATCCACAAAGGCAAGTCTTTTATCAAGAAATTTTACCAACAAGAGTAAAGGTGCACCCAGGATGCAGTACGAGTTTCAACTTTCTCAGGTTCTAAGGCCAACTTGCAGCTGCTCTTGCTTTCCAGTAATTCCAGTTCTTCCTTTTTTTTCTGATCCCAGGACTGTTAGACACTGGAAATACAAATAAGCAAGCTGCAGACTGGGAGAGCTATTGAGTGTTTCCAAGTAGCAATTAGCATGAGAAGCACCCTCACCTGGCAAGGAGATGAGACAACAGATCCATGAAGAAGCGCTGCAACTCAAGGATGATTCTATAAAAGCATTTAGTACAGCACAACATATACACACACACAGAGAAAC